AGGTGGCAAGCCTGAGATTAGCATGTGTTCAGCACCGAGTAACAGAAAACCCAGCTAACAGTATTTAACCATAAGGCTTGTTACTGCTCAGTGTCCCAGGGATGCTTCAGTAGCTCAGCAATGTGGTCAAGGAACTGGGGCTTGGTCTTTCCCCTCCGCCGATCTCCAGGCATCGGTGATGTTTTCCTACAGAATCACCGAATGGCTGGGGGTATAACGACCCCTTGATTCCTCCCAGGGCTGATCTGAAGATTAAATAAGAAATGTCTGTAAAATACCAAGCTTTCCATCTTCACAGGACTACTCCCAAGCAGGAGGAATTTTTTTCCTTTCATGTCTTTCTTTTCCTGCAAGAGGTTTCTTTCCCAAAGCCCCCAGCCAGTTTCCCCTTACATCTTGTGTAACCAACTTGTTCTGGTTTGCCTGGTACTTTTGCAGCTTGTACTGAAATTTGTAGGTCCTGGGAACCCCCTTCTTAGTCCTGGGCAAAGCCAACTGGTTGGTCTCCCTCTTTACACTCCATTGGCCAGCACTGGCTCACATGCCTATCCCTTGACCAATCCCTGGCAAAGGCAATGGAAATACCCCTACTGCTTAAACCAACGAGGATTCACCTCCTGGGGGGCTGGGTACTTTCCCTTTGGAAGCGATCTGGGGTTCTGTGAGCTAGGAAGGAGGATCGGCTCTTGGGTGGGCACCAGCAGCATCTGCCACACTTGCTTCAGTCAGAAATGAGCAGAGCCCCCTCCTAGCCAAGGCTCTGCTCTACCCCCAGCGTCACCACTATCATGCTGGTTGTGTGTCTGTGACTAAGTGTGAAAGAATTAGGAGCATGACAGGGATGTTGGGGGAGGGAGAGGAGTGGAGGAGAAAGGCCTCAAATACAGATTTCTTGTATGTTCATGGGAAACAAGTTTATTTTTAATTTGACCTTCATGTGGCCTAACTAGTGTGCAGTTCTCCAGGCATGATACCCAAAAGGGCAGCTTTTAGGTAAAAATAAGGAAGATCAGAAAACAGCTGATCTTTCTCCTATGCAAGCTTATTCTTTGACTCTGGAGGAAGGGTTATCTGAACAAAAGGACAGAGGGGCGGGGCTGAATGCAGGCTGAGAGGTCAGCTCTAGCCCTGGCTCCTTAGATACACTGGGGTCACCCAGCCTCCTTACTCACCTCTTGCATCAGCTACATTTGGGACAGAACTGTTCTGAGTCTGACCTAGGTCTACCTGACACCAAATCTCATGACTTGTGAGGCTCCAGCCCCAGGGCCAGTCACCTTCTCTTAAAATGTTACCAATTTTTTAAAATGTTTGTTTATTTATTTATTTTGAGAGAGAGAGAGAGAGCTCTGGGGAGGGGCAGAAAGAGAGAGAGAGAGAGAGAGAGAGAGACCCAAAAGAGCTCTGCACTATCCGCTTAAAGCCTGATACAGGGCTCAATCCCACGAACCCCGAGATCATGACCTGAGTTGAAATCAAGAGTTGGACGCTCAACTGACTAAGCCACCCAGGCGCCCCATCCTTAAAATTTTAAAGATGAAGACGCTGAGAATAAGTCGTTTGCAAACTTGGAAATGGTGTTCCATTCATTCACTCATTCAAACAGATATTTATTATGTATTTTGTGCCAGGCACTATGATGTACTGGGGATCAAATGGCAAACATGACAAACAAGATCCCCATGCCAAAGAAGCTAACATTCTAGAGATGCCAGACAGACAATAAGCAAGAACTAACATATACACATCATCATTAGTAAGACGTATAATTAAAAAAACAAAGCCAGAGGGGCACCTGGGTGGCTCAGTTGGTTAAGTGTTCGACTTCGGCTCAGGTCATCATCTTGCCGTTCAAGACTTCGAGCCCTGGGGCGCCTAGGTGGCTTAGTCGGTTAAGCGTCCGACTTTCACTTAGGTCATGATCTCGCGGTTCGTGGGTTCGAGCCCCGCGTCGGGCTCTGTGCTGACTGCCAGCTCAGAGCCTGGAGCCTATTTCAGAGTCTGTATCTCCCTCTCTCTCTGACCCTCCCCTGCTCACGCTGTCTCTCTCTCTCTCTCCTACAAATAAATAAAAATATTTAAAAAAAAAAAAAAAAAGACTTCAAGCCCTGTATCAGGCTCTGTGCTGACAGCTCAGAGCCTGGAGCCTGCTTCAGATTCTGTGTCTCCCTCTCTCTCTGCCCCTCCCCCACTTGTGCTCTGTCTCTGTCTCTCTGTCTCTGAAAAATAAACATTAAAAAGGTTAAAAAGAAAAAAAAAAAGGCCAGAGAAGGGGTTAGAGGAAGACCAAGTAGGCAGGGAAAGCTGTCTGCTTTTTTTTTAGATCAGGGGTCTGCAAACTATAGCCTGTTAGCTGGCATCTATTTTAGTAAATAAAATTGTATTGGAATATAGTCAGGTTTGTTTACTTACATATTGTCTATGGCTGCCTTCATGCTACAATGACAGAGATGAGTAATTGCAACAGAGATGACATGGACTGCAAAGATGAAAATACTGACTATCTGGCCCTTAAAAAAGTTTGCCTTTCCGATAAGGTGTCACTTCACACCCAATAGAATGGCAATCATCAAAAAAGATGGACAATCCCAAGTACCAGTGAGGATGTGGACAAATTGCAGCCTCATGCGCTGCCAAAGGGAATGTAAAATGGTGCAACCATTTTGGAAAACAGTCAGGCTGTTCCTCATAAGGGTGAACACGGAGTTACCACAGGACCCAGCAATCCCAGCCCGGGGTGTGTGCCCAAGGGAAATGAAAGCACGTGTCCACACAAAAATTTGTACAAGGATATTCATAGCAGCATTTCTCATAATGGAAAAAAGGAGAAATAACCCATATGCCCATCAATGGATGAATAAGTAAAATGTAGTATAGCCATACAACTGAATATTAGCTGACAATAAAAAGAAATAGTGACACACGCTACAATATGGGGGAGCTGTGAAAACACTATGCCAAATGAAAGAAGTTAGCCATAGGGGCGCCTGGGTGGCTCAGTTGGTCAAGTGTCCGACTTTGGCTCAGGTCATGATTTCACAGTTTGTGAATCTGAGCCCCGTGTCGGGCTCTGTGCTGACAGCTGAGAGCCTGGAGCTGCTTCAGATTCTGTGTCTCTCCTCTCTCACTCACACTCACACTCACACTCTGTTTAGCTCTCGCTCAAAAAACGAACACACAAACAGCAAGCCAGCCACGAAAGAGCACAGATTGTGTGATTCCATGCATGTGACACATCCAGAATAGGCATCTATAGAGACAGACAACAGATTAGTGACTGTCTCGGCCCAGGGAGGCTAGGGAGTGTTGGCTAAAGGGTACAGGGTTTCTTTTTGGGGTCATGAACTGATGGTGTTGATGGGCCTATAACCCTGAATATACTAAAGGGCATCATATTGTATACTTTCATTGGGTGAATTATTTGGTGTATGAGTTATGTCTCAATAAAGCTATGTTTTAGAAGGTTTATCGAACTTTTGTTCTAGATAGGGAAGGCCTCTGAGTAGGTGGCTTTTCAGCTTCTTTTGTAATTGGCTCAAAGCTCTCAAACAGTAACAGATGACATTTTACTGAGCACTTATGTGCCAGACACTGTGCAAAGCACTTTTTTTTATTGAGAGAGAGAGAGAGAGAGAGAGAGAAGGGCAGAGAGAGAGAGAGGGAGAGAGAGAATCCCAAGCAGGTTCCACATTGTCAGTGTACAGCCTGATGTAGGGCTCTATCTCACAAACCATGAGATCATGACCTGAGCCAAAATCAAGAGTTGGATGCTTAACTAACTGAGATACCCAGATGCTCCTGTGCAAAGCATTTTATAATTACCACCTCATTTAATCCCCACAAAAATCCCATAGCTTAGATACTGACAACTCCATTTAATAGATGAAGAAATTGGAACACAGAGAGGTTAGGTGACTTGCCCTAGATCACACAGCTGATAAATGGCAGAACTAGGATTCAATTCTGGCTGTTTCTGATTTCAAAGCCTATGTCCACTGAGGTAAACTTCCTGTCCCAATGTAAGATGGAGGAGATGGGAAAGAGCATAGCCTTAAAGGAAGGTAGGGAAGGGCATGCCAGATGTAGAGGAGGTCAATGAGCCTGCTAAGAGGTGTCTATGGGTTCAGGGACACAGGGAGAGCAATATGCTAATATAGTGGTTCCCAAATGTTAGATTGAGAGGCTTGTTTAAATGCAGATTCCTGGGTCTCACCACCAGAGATCTGATTTAATGGATCTGAATTGGGGCCCAGGAACCCACTGTTAACAAGCTCCCTGTATCTAATGCAGATGGTCCAGGGAGCACGTTGTGAGGTGTCCAGCAGGAACCTCAAGGTCAGCACAAGACTTCTCTGTATGCCCGCCCACCCCATTTTGGCATCCTTCTTTTCCCTTCTTCCTGATATCCCATATTCCTGGCTCTCATTCTTCTCCCTGAACCCAGAGATCCCACTGAGCAGTGCAGACCTCCCAGTCTCTGTTCCTGTTCTTTCCTCCACCTGGTGTGACCTTTTGACCTTCCTTTGCTCTGCTCCATCTCTCCCAAGAGGCCTCATTACATCTCCCCTTCCTTAGCCTCCTATTCCACACGAGCCCATCTTTTGGGAGTCTGCTGAAGGGTCCCCTCTTTATGAAATCTTCTCTAACAATATGAACATTTCTTTACTGCATTTATAAAATGGGAATGAAGCATAAACAAGAAAATGTGCACAAGGAGCACTGTAGGCACTCAATAAATCGTGCCTATTATTTTTATATAGTAACCTACCTATTATTCTTCCCATTTCACAGTTGAGGAAAGTGAGACAAAGAAGGATTAAGAAACTTGTCCAAGGCCACCTTGCTAGAAATTGGTAGTACTTGGATTTGAACTGAGGCATCAGGCCCTCAGCTTTAATCATTATATGAGACAGGCTTTCATAGTATTAGGGCTCTACTGAGATAACAGATGCCAGGATTTTGGCACAGGACCTGGCCTGTGGTACGTGCTCAATAAATACCAGAGACTGATGTGAACTGGTAGAACTCCATTCTACATCCAGGGAGAGGGGAGAGATTACCCAAAGACTTTTCTGACCATGACATCTCATGCTTTTTATTTGACAAGACTCAACATCTTAAGATCTCTCATGAGAACAGGATGTAAAAAAAAAATTCAGAAAACAAAATTCAGAATGGTGTCCCATTCAAAGCTTGGTGGGTCCAAAGCCTGTCGATCATCTTCACTGAGGGTGATTGTGGGTCTTAACTTTTAAGAACGTTAAGGTGGTAAAGAGATACTGGGGAAGGAGGAAGGATATATGATAGTTGATCTGGATGCCATTTTCCAATCAAGGTTCCACATGGAATGGAGATCCCTCCATCCTGACTCCAAATTCTCTTTCGGCTCAGGTCATTCACCTCATCTACCCTACTCTGAGCTCCATACAAAACTTAGGTAAACCAGAAAGCCCCCCATTTGAACCTGGGGTCTTTGTACAGAGTCAGACAGCTTCCCATCTGAATTGAATCAATGGGGAATTCTGTGGTTGCATTTCTTCCAACAGAGAGGAGCCGTGAAAATATTGGAATAATAAGTGGACTGTTCGGTCTTGCCTCCCTTCACAAAGCTTTTGGTGGAACCGAAGTCAAGAAGACAACAGGAGGAAGAGAACACCGAAAAATTCTCTTGGAACCAAAACCCAGGAGACCAGGATTGACCCACATCTCTGGAGAAACAAACAAGACAATTCCAGTTGGGTTACAGGTCACAGAAGATAACAAGAGTCACCACCAAATAAGACTAGGAGGCTTTCCGGAAATGGACCACTTTCTGAAACGCTTGCCGAAACTCTTTGTTAAACACAGTATATATTATTGGATTGATGAGGGAGTTTAAATAGCCTAGCCAGGTGAAGAAGTCAAAGAGCACTGGGTGGAGCCAGCAGGAGTCCTGGCAGATGGGAAGGACCAGAGACACAACAAAGAAGGGCAGCCAGCAGACGATGAAGGCCCCCAGAATGATCCCCAGGGTCTTAGTGGCTTTCCTTTCTCGTGCGGCGGAAATCCTCTTGCGCTCCAAGACACTATCAGCCAGCTTGATTTTCACGTGGTTGAAGAAGAGAGGGGAGCCGGCCGCATGGGAGTGCCCCTCGTGAAGGCTGGAGCTGAGGGAGCAGAGCGAGGACCCCGCAGAGCCTGTGATGAGATGAGCCGTGGTGAAGCGCTTCCCATAGAGCGAAGGCGGATTCAGGATGCGGTTCCGGGCGGCCATGTAGATGCGGCCATAGAGGATGATGAGCAGCACAGATGGGATGTAGAAGGCCCCGCAAGTGGAGTAGATGGTGTAAGAGATCTGAGATGTGCTCACCAGGCAGTCCGATATCTCTTCGTGAGCTTTGGCCTGCCGCCAGAAGAGTGGTGGGATGGAGATGCAGATGGAGATGACCCAGACGGTGGCAATCATGGCAGCTGCACGGCCTGCTGTCCGGCGTTTACTATACTCCAGGGCATCAGTGATGGCCCAGTACCTGTCCAGAGCAATGGCACAGAGATGCAGGATTGAGGCCGTGCAGCACGTGATATCAGAAGACAGCCAGATGTCACACAGGATTTGGCCAAAGCTCCAGGTGTGGGTGATGGTATAGGCGATGCTGATGGGCATGACCCAGATGGAAACCAATAGGTCAGTCATGGCCAGGGAGCCAATGAGATAGTTAGCTGGGGTGTGGAGCTTCCTGGTGAGGACGATGGTGGTAAGCACAAAGGCATTGGAAAGGACTGTGGCCAGTGTGATGATGGAAAGGAGCAGAGCAAGAGAGATCTTGAGGGCCTGGAGGGTCCCTGGACCCCAAGTCTCTGGGGTTTCTGTAGCATTCAGGGATCTGTTGGAGGCCTCCTGGAGAAGGTCTTCCAGTGACTGGTTTGGCGGGGACATTCTAGGTGGCTCTCTCTTCCCATAGACTTCGACACTCCCGGCTCCTTTCACAATTGTCCTGCCTACAGAACAAGGTCATCCTTCTGTTGCACGCTGGTGGAAACTTCCATCAGAACAGACCACAGTGAAAGGACCTCAAGAAGACTTGACCATCTGAAGAACATGGAGGTGCCAGCTGGTAGTTAAAAAGGTCTTTCCTAAATGGGATGAATCCCAAGATGTCTCACTATTCTGAAACTCTGCCCAGCAGAGGGTCAAGCCCAGCGGACACATGCTGAATTTGTTAGACATTTATCAGGGTATCACACCAGTGTAGGCAATGCTTTGGGATTCTTGGTTTTGGCATTTTGGCTCCTTCCAAAGCTTGAGGGATAAATGTGTTTAATGAAAACTTCAGAATTTCCCCCATCCTATTCTGAGAAGAGTCTAGATTTCAGGTTTCCTCTGGGGAGCTTTTAAAACTAGTGACAAAAAAGAAGTACCAGCAGATTCAGGGAAGCATTCCAGTCACCAGCTACCGTTGCCCCAGGTTCATCTTGATACATCACGTGGCACTTAACATTGCTTCCTGTCCCGCTGGTCATTTTGAGCCTGAATAGACAAAACATTCTCGTTACCAAGACCTGAAGTATGCATGAGCTAGAAGGTAAAACAAATGGATCACTGTGAGTTCATCGAGAAGGGCACATGTTCAGAGCTCTGGGGCTTAAAAAAGAAAAAAAGGAAAGAGTTAGGTTTTAGAAGGACACTTTAAACGCTTGAGATTAACCGTAAGTTTAAAAACATACTGTTTAGTGCTGGCAATGGTGCAGTGAAACTGGCATTGTCAAAAGCGTCAGGAGAATACAGGGGAGGGCAATGTGCCCCACCCCCACAATTCCCAGAGGGGACATGGCTGTTGGAAGCATCATAGTCTTGTTATAAATACATGAAATCAGCTTTGTAAGTTATGAATCAGAAACCACCATTTTATTTTCTCAGCAACAATGAAAAGTAAACAAAAATAACTCCATGCATGGGTGGGGGGGAAGGTCACCAGGAAAGAGACCACATTTTTACAATGTTTTTCTCTAGGAATTGGGGAGGGAGAGGTGACCTTTCCTCTATTCATAAAAATTTTCCAAATTTCCTAGAGTATGCATGATTTTTTAAAAAATATTTTTATTTATTTCTAGGAGAGAGAGAGACACAGTGTGAGCAGGGGAGGGTTAGAGAGAAAAGGAGACACAGACTCTGAAACAGGCTCCAGGCTCTGAGCTGGCTGTCAGCGCAGAGCCCAACGCGGGGCTCGAACCCACAAACCACGAGATCATGACCTAAGAGAAAGTCGGATGCTCAACCGACTAAGCCACCCAGGCGCCCCAAGTATGCGTGATTCTTAAAACAAACACAAAAGCAAAAACAGAAACACCTTTTGGTTAGCAAGGAGGTCAATTGTGAAAACGAAAACCCTAAGCATTTTTCACAGTGAGAGTTCAAATCCAGAAAATGTATTCAGTTTTCTAAGTGGAAACTGGCAGTTTGGTCACAAAAAAAACTTTGAAGACTCATTTTCTCTTCTGTGTCCCTCTCGGCTTGAATCTGAGTTTCAGTTTTGGAGGATGGGGGGTTCTTGGAGCTTGGGGCCTCTGGTATCGGTGATCAGGGTGAGGCAAACCAGAGGCCACTCTGTGCAAGGCCCGTCTCTGGCATGACTCCAGCTGAAGTCTGTGGAGCCCGTGGAAGCCCCTGGTATACAGGGTTCACAAGAAGAGTACCAAGACTCCTTAGTCCCATCCCCACTCCTATCCCTGCCTCGTATGGAATGTTAGAACTCCATCAGGAATTATTCATTTGATTTCTTCCAGTCCCACCCTGAGAGGATTCAAAACCCTGGCAGGGGAAGCAGACAGGTTGGCTCAAGGACCCTGGGATGGAGCTGGCCAGGCATCTTTATATATACACGCTTTTAAAATGTGATTATGGGAGCCCCTGGGTGGCTGAGTCGGTTAAGCATCCAACTTTGGCTCAGGCAGTGATCTCATGGCTTGTGGGTTCGAGCCCTGCATCGGGCTCTGTGCTGACAGCTCAGAACCTAGAGCCTACTTTGAATTCTGTGTCTCCCTCTCTCTCTGCCCCTCCCCTGCTTGTGCTCTGTCTCTCAAAAATAAATAGATGTTAAAAAAAATGTTTTAATATCTGGCCATGTGTAGCAACATGGATGGACCTTGAGGGTGTTATGCTGAGCGAAATAAGTCAGGCAGAGAAGGACAAATATCATATGTTTGCACGTATGGGAGGAACTTAACTGAGGANTTTGCACGTATAGGAGGATTAGGAGGAACTTGACGGAGGAACAAGGGGGAGAAGAAGGGCGGAAATGGTGGGGGAAAGGGAGAGAGGCAAACCATGAGAGACTCTTGAATGCTGACAAAAGCTGAGGACTGATGGATGTGGGGGGAGGGGGGGATGGGCATGGAGGAGGGCACTTGTGGGGATGAGCACTGAGTGTTATGTGGAAACTAATTGAGAATAAACTGTAAAAAAATGTTTTAATAAATGTGATTATGACTAGGTATAAATTTGTCTCGTAGTTTGTATGTTTTTCAACAATATATTTTGAACCTTGTTCCATCAATCATTCTCGCAACATCATTCTTAAGGGCCACGTATTGCTCCACTGGGTGGCTACATTAAGCCATTTATTAAGGAGAAGGGTTTCAATAGTCAAAGTCAAGAGGGATGGCATTCCTGGTGGCTGGAAAGGCAAGGGCAAAGGCCCAGAGGTCAGAAAGTGCAAGGCATGGCAAAAAGCCCAGGTGACTGCAGCACAGAGAGCAGAGGTGAGGTAGAGAGATGGCTCAGGAGGTAGCTGGCACCAGAGGTAGGAGGCAGCTGAGTACAGGGGATAGCCTGGCTTGGGTGGGGCCATCTGGGCTCCAATCCCTGTTTTCTGCCCACCCCCAATCATGTAGGACCTTGGGCAAGTCCCTTACCCCTTTCTGAGTCTCAGAGTTTGTCCTCAAAACAAATGGCCTCCCCACCCGCCTCCCAGGGCTTCAGTAGGCTTCTGTCATTCCTGGCAAGGCTAGCCTTCCAAACCCAGTAAACACTGAGAGATATCAAGAGTCATTACCATCTGACTCCCCATCCCTACAGCGTGGCTCAGGGATTTGTGGGGAAACTCAATCTATGTCTGTTGATTGACTGATTTTTAAATCATTAAGAACCACACCCTGCAATGCTGTAGTTTCCCTTCCACTGCTCAAACTGTGATTTCATCTTAAACAAAACAAAACAAAATCTTCCTAGGGGCACCTAGGGGCACCTGGGCAGCTCAGTTGGTTAAGTGTCTCAGGTCATGATCTTGTGATTCATGAGTTCGAGTCCCATGTCAGGCTCTGTGCTGACAGGTCAGAGCCTGAAGCCTGCTTCAGATTCTGTGTCTCCTCTCTCTGACCCTCCTCTGCTTGAACACACACACACACTCTCTCTCTCAAAATAATAAATATTAGGGGCGCCTGCGTGGCTCAGTCGGTTAAGCGTCCGATTTCGGCTTAGGTCATGATCTCATGGTTCGTGGGTTCGAGCCCCATGTCAGGCTCTGCGCTGACAGCTAGCTCAGATCCTGGAGCCTATTTCAGATTCTGTATCTCCTTCCCTCTCTGACCCTCCCCTGCTCACGCTGTCTCTCTCTCTCTCAAAAATAAATAAAAACATTTTTTTAAACGTAAAAAAACCCCAAAAAACAAAATAATAAAATTAAAAAAATATTTTTAAAATATCTTCCCAGAGGAGGGGTAACAGTCTCAAGTTAAGAAAACCAATCTTAAACCACCTGCTTAAAAACATTCCCAAAGCTTGAAGGGTATTATTATTATGTCTTTCATGAGCTCTTGCTCTGTTCCAGGCACGGAGCTAGCCCTGGGGCCAAGAGTCACCCCTGTGAGGTGGGCGGTACGGCCCCACCTTACAAATGAGCTGCCTGTACTCAGAGAGGTGACATGACCTGCCCAAGGTCACTCAGGTGGAAGTGGAAAAACTGGGTCCAGAGCCGCTCTTGAAATTTCCATTCTTTATGCTGCCTCGATCAGGAAGAAAAGCCTTAAGGCACATGTGCTTCCAGAAGTGAAACTGGTCTGGGGCCTCATGGAACTATAGGTGAAAATGCTGGCCTCTCCCGACCCCCTCACTCCATCCTCTACCTCAGAAGCCTCTGGTTTTCCTCCCTCTTTGGCTCACATGGAAAATGTGAAGTTGGGTTGGACTGTTTGGAATCTTCTTCTTTCCAGACAGACTAGGTGCAGTCTTTTCTCACAGAAGGCTGTATGCCTGCCCCACAAACCCCTGCGGTCACCCCTTGAGTTTCAGGCATTCCAATGACCTCATTCAGTGAAAGGCGTGGGCTCAGAAAGGCCTGGGAGGCTAGTGGGTGACATCTCAGGAAGGACTGGGTGGCTTGCCTTGGTCAGGAATGCTGGGCTGGAATTCTGAGGGAAGCCACACGATTCCGAGGCTGCCTCCCTCCTTTCCTGACTGCTGTTCTTCCCTGCCCTGAACAAAGTTGGGGGCACGTCCCATAGCCCAGCCACCTTTGGAGATAAAGACTGTAGCTCTCTAAGCAACTACGTCCCCTATCATACCTCCAAATACTAGATGTGCTTCCAGGAGTGAAACTGGTTAAAACAAATTAAAGCAAATTAAAACAACAATGAGGGGGCACCTGGGTGCCTCTGTTGGTTAAGCGTCTGACTCTTGATTTGGGCTCAGGTCACCATCCCACTGTTTGTGTGTTCAAGCCCTGAGTCGGGCTCCGTGATGGCAGTGCAGAGCCTGCTTGGGATTCTCTCTCTCTCTCTCTCTCTCTCTCTCTCTGCCCCTCTCCTGTTCACGCTGTCTCTCTCAAAATAAAGAAATAAACTAAAAACAAACAAACAGTGAGATACCATGTTCACCCAGCAAACAGGTAAAACATTTTGAATCTGTCATGTCACGTCATTTGGTGAGGGTGTGGACCAACAGGAATTGTCACCTACCACTAGTAAAGTGTGAAGTGGAGGAACCTCATTAGCAAACAATCTGATATTATCTCATAAAGCAAAAGATGCAATGATTACCTCACCACCCGGTAATTCACACACGGCAGAGAAACTGTTCTCTGTGCTCACTGGCAGAGAGGAACATGAACGGCCACAGTGGCGTTGACTGGAAGCAAACAACTAGAAACTGCCCAGACATCCATCCACATCAGAGCGGTAGAACGTGGGGTATTGCTCTGACAGGACCACGGAGAAGCAAACCTATGTAAGCCAAAGCCACATGCATCTAAGTGGGTGTGTCTCACCCACAACGCTTAGTGCCAAAGCCAAAAACACGTAAGAAGAAACACACTGTTTCGACATACAAATATATGTGGCAAAGCCATAAGGAAAAACAAGGAAATATTAAATATAAAATCCAGGATTGCAGTCACTTCCTGGAGGGGAGAGAATGCAGGAATGTGGTGGGGGGGGGTGAAAGATATCGATGATGTTCTATTTACAAAAATTTTTTTTAATGTTTTTATTTTATTTTTGAGAGAGAGAGACAGAGTGTAAATGGGGGGGGGCAGA